AGAGAGAGAGAGAGAGAGAGAGACCTAATTTAGGCCCAGTTTGTGTTATCATAGGACCAGTTAATCCTCAATAAACCATTTGTAAAGTGAAACCAGATGTCAAACAATGCACTAATTCTCTCAATATTTGCTTTTATTTCTATCTTTTATTCAATATTTCACATGTGTTTTGAATTTTAGTTTTTTAAAATAAACAATATTTTTAGTGAATTTAAACGAATTGTGGTAAAAATGAGTGACACGTGAAATACAAGTTATGAATTACCCCCTAAATTGTACCCTAATTTGTGTGTAAACCCCGCTATCTTATAGTCTTCCTCCACCCTTTCTTCCCAATGCTTTGTCCAAAAAACAGCAACTTTTTAAACCTATAATTAATTGTTTTTTGCAGTGATTTTTAATTCAATTTACGTTTTAATTGTATTTATCATTGATTTAGTGTTTATTTTAATATTTTCTATAATTTTCAGTTTAATTACACGAAAATGTGGTCAAAATTAATGAGTAAATCATTGACTAAACTGAAGACCACTGGAGACAACTCACCCCTCAATACCAGTCATAAGTATGTATTGTTTGTATTAACTGTTTGTATCATTCAATTAAAAGTGATTATATTAAGGATTAACAGCCAAACCGCTAACACATCAACCATTGGTCCCATCCGTAGCGGACAGTCATCGGCGGTGACTAAACCGGTGGCCAATGTGGTCGCCGGCAGTCATTTAGCGGCCAACACATGCCATATGAACACAACGTAAGCAATGATTGAAAACTATTGTTTGTTTTATAAGATATAATTGCAATTCAATTATACGATTAAAATACAGTCAAACAAATACTCGCAAACGTCTCCGACGGGAAGTGGCCACAGAAGTCGGTGGCCAGTCGTCCGCCGGCAGGAGTCGTAAAGTGGAGGACAAACGGCGCCCAAAACGCCGCAAATACAACATCGATGACGACTCGTACGTGACTTTTAGCGCCCGATTTGGTTGCGGTTATTGTATTTGAACGCCAGATATGTTTTACACCACAAACAGAGAGTCGGACAGCGATATTGAGATCGTGGCCATCGTCTCCGCGCCCAGCGCTCATACCACCGGCGCCGCCACTGCCGGTGCTTCAGAACCCTCACCGCCACCAGTGCTGCCATCAGTACCGCCACCATCGGCGGCAGCCGTAGACACAGCCACGCAATCCCTGGCCGTCACACAGGCCGCACCCAATGAGGGGCGACGACAGTACGTGGCGTCAGACACCACTAGTCCTACGATAACACCCGTGGCCTCCGATATGGACATGGATTCCGACGACAGGTATGTCTATCGTTACCGAATACCAAATCACTGGACACTAACTGTTCATCTATTGAAATAAGCGTTGAGTTGTTAGACCCGTCCGACGACGACGTCCTCTCGCCTGACGCCCATTACAGCGACAGTTTGCCCACCGATGAGACCACTGAACCGCTTCCCGACAGTGATTATTACGACAGGTTTGACTCATTGGTGGAACGGGTGTCCGGACTGTTGGGCCCCGACGTCAAGCCAGTGATCGCCGCTGCGGGCGATGTGTAAGACTTCATACCAAGTTATGGCAGTATTTTTTGCATATTTACTGATTATGGTATTTATTGACTCATTTATTAACAGTGATATTACTGGCGGTGATATAAAACCTGATGTTGTATTAAATGCCTGCTCAGCACCGGGTGATTGTGTGCCACAGATTGCCGCCCAACCAGTTGTCGAGCAGTCAAATATCGTTGTGTCCGTCACTACTGACCTAACACTGGCTGATGTTAAGCCACTGCTAACGGATCCGAGTTTACAAACATTGTCTGATCAGTCATTGAAAACCACTTTAAGCACTCAAATCAAAGACACAGATAATGTTGAATCAGTGATGACTACAAATACTTATCACAAGTATTTCAAGTGTTTTGAATTTATTGATTAAAATATAAATTAATTTTTAATTAT